GCGCGTGCGGGGGCGGGGGGCAGCGGGGTGCTCAGGCCGGCCGGCAGCTGTGCGTGCAGGAGAACTACAGGAACAACCCCTTCCACAACTTCCGGCACTGCTTCTGCGTGGCCCAGATGATGTACAGCATGATCTGCCTCTGCGGGCTCCAGGTGCGCCTGGCGGGCGCCCCCACCGTCCCCGGCGCCCCCACCCCCGGGAGGCCGAGCCGCTGGTCAGGGAGCACCCCCCACCCGGGGTCCCGCACCCCCCCACCGGGGGTCCCCGGCCACCCCCCCCCACCGGGGGAGGCCAAGCAGCTGGTCAGGGAGCACCCCCCACCCCCCAGCACCATCCCGGGGTCCCGGGCAGCCCCGCCTCCGAGGGAGGCCAGGCCGCACCGCACGGGCAGCTCTCACCTGCCAGCCCCACCCAGAGTGCGGCGCCCCGCCGCTGTCCCGGGACCCCGCCTCGCCCCACCCACCCCCAGAAAGAGCCGCCAAAGCCCCGACTTGTCCGCTTCCAGGAGAAGCTGTCCCAGATGGACATCCTGGCGCTGATGACGGCCTCCATCTGCCACGACCTGGACCACCCCGGCTACAACAACACCCTCCGGAAGCCCCCCTTCGACGTGTGGCTGTGGGAGCCCAACGAGGTGAGCCCGCCCCGTCCTGTGCTGTGGGCCTGCCCTGGCCCGGCCGCGCCCCGGGAGGCTGCAGCGGTGTGGGGGGCTGCCCAGGGCGGGGCGGGCCGCTGCTGCACCGCCCTTGACCTGCCCCCTGCGGCCGGGAGCGGGTTCGGGTTTAGTCCCCTCAGTTTCCTTGCCTCGAACCCCGGAAAACGAAAGGCCCCTCGCGGCAGACGCCGGCGGTGCGGCCGGGAGAAGCCGGTCCGCAGACCCCAACACCCAGACACCCCACCCAGCCCTGGGGCAGGCAGCCTGTGGGGTGGCTGCGGGGCTCCCCACCCCGCTGGGTGGGCGGCCGGGCGCAGCCCCGACCCCTGGGGGTCATTTCCGAAGGTCCCTCTGGAGTGGGGCACACGCCCCGCCCTCGCGCAGGGCCAGCTGGCCCCAACGCACCCCTCCGGGGGTCCCGAGCCCCCTCCCAGCAGCGCCTCTGGGCTCGGGC